TGGAAATAGTGAAAGTATATGAGTCACTCGGAAGCCAATGCGGTTAAGTCGATTTTTTGATATCCTCTGATTTTTCTTTCGGTTTTTGCCTTCTAGACTTAACGTTGGCTTCTGAGCGACTGATATATTGTTAACTTAAAAGAGAAGATTGTTAATTTATTAAGAATTCGTAGAGGTTTCCTTGATGTTTCGAAATTAGCGCGAGCTAAGTGGATTACTAATTTCTTAAGGTTCGTAAATGTTCGAAGTTTTCAGAAATTCAAAGTTTAGAATCTTGACATTCTTCCAGTTTCTATTCTCGTTTCTTCCTCCATTTCCCCTTCGCTCCCGAGTGCGTTCTTCCCTCTGAGAATTCGAAAGAATCCGAAACTTCGAGAGTCTCCGTGCAGATTGTCGATGTTATCGAAAGATCATTCAAGTTTCTTTATCTCGTCGAGCGGCTTCTCGAATTTCGTGTTTATCTTTCAGCAAATTAAAGTGCAATCGTCAGCATCCTTCAACATGCTCGATTAAAGAAAGCGACAAGGGGATTATCGATATTTATCAATGCCGCGCATCGAGTTTCGAATTAAAGAACGTAACGGATCATTCTTATCGGCGCGAGATTTTCCGTACGGCGTCGAAAGTGATAGATAGTTTGTCTAACGCGTACGTGTAAATACATAATCGCGCGGGATCAACCGAGGATTGTTTAGCCACCGATTAGACTGATTAGCCGGTATTTCGCTCATCCCTACGTCGCACACCGTAGACACGCGACCATTGGCAGGACAGTGATCGAACGGATCGATAAACGATGTTATCGTGCAACATTTAATCGCTTCAAGTAGAAAAGGAAAAAACAAGAATTAACGGATCAAATCTTGAAGAGCACGGTCTTCCCATAACAGGCTTATCTGCTGGAACGTACGAAAAGAATAATGGGTTTTTAATTAAAATCGACAATTCGAGGAACATCGCGGATTATTCCATTCAAGCGATTTCCGGCGAATCGAACGGCACCTCTCGTTTAAAGAAACAGATTTCTAACCTTCTTTTCTTTTATCTTTCTCCGAATTCCCCCACTCACTTATCTGTTTATCAGTGATCGTGAAAATCTCTATGTACAGAAGCTTTACTACTCGATTATTCGATTTTCAGTGGAAATTCAGTTTCTTCAAATTCTCGATTATTATAATCCACTGAACTTGAACGTTATCGTTTCGTTAAAAATTCAATGTAAGGAAACGCGATAGGATCGCGGAATGTCGCGTAAGTAAACGAGAATCCTATAAATCACGTTAACGACGGTATCCATCAAAAACAGACAGAAGCATCGACGCGTTTAATTAGTAACATCGGTATGACCGAACGGTTTTGAATTTTAATTCGGTGTACGAACGATACTACGTAATAACCGATGTTCTTTTCCATTTCTCGAACGACATTCGTGTGCCTTTAATGAACAAATTTACATACATGAGTTGCGCGTAGAAAAAACTATCGATGCAAACCAAACGACCCGATTAACGATTTTCAGTTTTCTGGAACAGACATTCCGATTCACCGGCCGCTTCCCGCGAGCTTAGTGGGACGATAATTGTTGTAATTCAATTCGCGCGTCGGAGATTAACAGATCTCAATGACTCGTCATTGGGAATCGTTAATTAGTGACGCGTAACGCGAATCAAATTACACCGTGCCCGGAATATCTGTGCCGCGTTCTTCGCACTCTGTTACAGTTGCAGCGCTCCCTGTTATGCCTACGTTCGCGGAACGCTATGATTTATTCCGTCCTTACCGATTTCCTACGTTGATTCACTCTATTTGCGAATTCCAGCGCGGTGGACTTGCGGTCAGCGGTGATTAAGTTTTTCCTTGCTCCTCGTTGTTTCGAAAGTCTCGGTCTTCGTGAAACGCTCGATTGCGAGGAACGATAGGGATTAATGTCGTTGCGTTAAAAGTGACGATTCGCTCGGTAGAAATTGAAGGTGACGAATTCATTCGAGAGCTTACGAAATCCGCCATTTTCTGTTCATCCTTGTTACATGCGAACGAATCGACGGAGATATCAGTAAGAATTTGATCGTTTAGAATATTCGTTCGAGTAATCCGTGAAAAGTGATCGATTGGCTGTTATTGGATGTGATTAGCATTCTTCGTTACATCGGATTTAACGAGCTTTGCGTTTCGAATGATTTAATCCGATACTTGAAAAGCTTCTCGAATTTGATTGATAATCCGGCGAGTTTCTCACGCGTGCTTCCGAGTCACCCGGTACGTAGGATCGGCCGGTGCACCCGGCTCGTCGGATCAGTAGTAGATACAGACGTCGTTGGTCAGACGCGAGTATCTTCTGCATCTTCAGTGATGCAACTGTACCGACTATCTGACATCGATATCCTCGACGCATCCATTCGACGTGCGATCAATTCGTTTTTATTCTGATTCATAGTCGAACAATTATCCTCGTGTCATTATCATGATCGTGCGCATGAATATTAAACTATGAACTTGCCACGTTTCCTCGACGCAATTTTTCTATTCAGTATTCCGTTATTCTCGTTATGTCACCTTTTTTAATTAGTCAGGCACTAGTAATTAGAATATACATTATTTATACAGTAACTTGTAAGGATATAGTTCAAGCAGTGGCTCTAAAGTGACTCTAAAGTCTAATTCGATTTTCCAGGTTTCTTTTCGGACAAGATGTCAATATATTTCAAATTTCGAATACAAATTTTCCGTAATTGCACGAAAATCGGCGGTCTATTCGTCGCCGTTCCCTGCCCTTTATCGCGGCGAAACGATGTTGACGCGATAAAAGTCTAGTAAACGACGATAACCGAGTCGCCGTACGATCGGCCGCCGATTGATCTACGTAAACGGAAAATCCCGTTTGTGATCGCCGGCTCCTCGAACAGGCCAGCTGCTCGGATAGAAATATTTGCGTGTCGGCACTCATTAAACGGCGGTTTCTTTACTAAAAGTTCGCGGTGATGTAACCCACTCGCAGGATAGCGGAATCGCAATTACTCGTCAATGCCGATCGATCGATAGACGCAGCATCCGCGAGACACGAAGGAATCTCGTTTCGAATTTCCATTTTTCCTTGACATCACAACAACCGAGCGTTTACCGTGATTAACACGTAATCATTAGAAAAATTGTAATCGTGGATTCCTCTTCGATTTCTTCATATATCGGTTGTAACATCGAAGTGAATCGATCTAGAGCAAAAGGAGTTCCGTTACGAATAAATATTGGATTCGACGATGAACAGCGTAGAGTCGGTATCTATATTTCAATTTGAAAAACGCGATTTTTCATTGAATATTCAAAGTCAGAGGAAGCGATCGATCCGACTTCCGAGAGGCTGAAGGATGGATCCACGCAGACGATCATTGGCATTGAGGATACAGTGTTCCCTTCTACGTTTCGACGGCCACTCGAGACGTGACTTGACATTCAAACGCCGTTTAATCTTCTCGCGATATTTTGCATACGCTTAGTTCATTTTTTCCTTCGCTGCCGGTTTCACGTGTCGCGATTCGCGAAAGTCAAACGTCGACTTTAGGTAACTGACCAAGTTTGAATCATTCATACGGCGGAGGACAGGGGAGCTCGGATGGTTCGGTGCATCTCTAAACATCCTTGCAACGCAGCAAACATCTGAAACTGATCGACAAAGGAAATTTCTAAACAACTTCAATAAATCGTGTTAATTCTATTATCGATATTCCCAATATTTCAAGCACCTTGCGTTATAACTTCAAAATTCGCAATGCATAAATCTACAACTTCGATCAGTCGAAAAATGAATTCAGGTTTAAATAACCGTCACGATAAAAAGAAACTAGTACACTGAACGCCATGCGGACAGCGTTGAAAAGATCGATCTGTTTGTCAAACATAAATCATTGAAATCGTTTCAATCGCCTCGTGTATGTATAGTAACGCATACTAGACTCCCCAACGATTCCTGTCGCGCACTACGAAGCGACTTACTGTGCGAACGGCGCGAATCATTTTAATTCGCGCAGCATGAACTGCTATGGCAATTTTTGCCGTTGTTGCCCGCGAAGCTTATATTTCAAACAGCACGACTTATCCGCGCCGGGCACACAAAAGCCCCTTATCATCAATCTCTGATTTGTTTGGGCCACCGTTCTATGTTCCAGGCCGGCTATTCATCCTCGACCGTGAATCACGGCTGACAAAGAGCCGCCTAATCGACACGACGCGAATTTAGATCGCAAATCTATTACCAGGAAGCGTTCGTTGATTTTCATTAACCCGTGAACGCGTAATCGACGCATTGATCGACGAACTACGCGGTGACATCAGTATTATCGAGCAACTTGAAGTGATCCATTTTAATCCTTTCATTCCGCAATTATTGAGATCTCACTGATTACTAATAAGAGAAATGATAGGAGTAATAATGAGAATTGTTGGCGCGTATGGCAAGCGAAAGAGTTCCTCTAAAAAATGATTGAATAATCGCCTCCTTAGATATGTAAATTACGATACAAGCGAATTAAAATTTCATCCGAGTACGCCTAGTTACATAACCTTCGCACTTGATTAAAGACAACCACTTACGGTATTAATTCAGCTCATCTGCTTGGTTCGATCGGCGAGGCGACAGGCGAATATTAAAATCGAGTGAATATTGAAGAAACGCGTGACGCTTTTCGGATTGTTGAAAGACAAGAGTTATTTATGAGCTTCGAGGACTATCATGGCTGTAGACAATCCTCATAATGCTTTTAATTGACTCGAGATACGATCGTCAAAACTCCGGACACCGAGAAACGAATGGACATCGATTTATTAGATAATCGCTTTTGTAATCGGTTTCGTAACACGCGGTTTACTAACGAATCGAGGAGAACATTAGCATGATTTGTTACGCGGATTGTATTCAAATGAAAGATAATTGTTGTTTCTTCGTGTACTAATGTTTTCAGTAATTACTGACATCCCCGACGATTAATAAGCGTATTTTCTTCTTTCAGGATGGACTGGACACCAAGAAGTGGTCCACGCCGGCGAAGATCAATCAGAATGGGTACGTTGTGTTCGGTAGAATCGTATTTCCAACGATAGTGGTAAAATTCTGGTTTTTTAATTGTACATTTGCGTTGCAGTTACGACTCAGGACACAATGGCAACGGCGTCTACGTTCTGGAGCTCGAGGATCAGAAGAAGAAGAAGAGCGTGCAGGAGTACGAGGAAGAGTACAATCCCTATGACCACAGAGTGGTGCAGCATCCGACAACGTGTGTTTTCATTTTCCTTTCGTCCATCAATGAGTAATTCACACGTTCGCAAACAGCGTGATATATTTGTTTGTTTCTCCTGACAACCAGGATAATTAGCAATCGATTAGCTGACGTATTTGTGACGCACATTTTTTAATCCTTCTTAAAGAAATTTATCACTTGTATTAGTATCGAGAAACGCGACTTTTATTTGCGTTTTGTGAAGATGATTCAACGTATTTAATAATGATTGTAATATTGTAAATATTGTAACTATGAAGTTAGAAACAAACGCCGGTCGCGAACGTGTTGATGTATAGTTACTCCTTCTTGTATGTAATCGTTTAACTGGTCTGAATGAATCAATGTTTCTCACGCGTTCCTAGTATCTTGTCGTTTGAATTAGATTACGCATCGATAAAAACGAAGAAATAAATGCGAGTCAATGCAACAGCCATATCGAACGGAGTATTTGCATAATACCGGACGCTGTACGCATGCAAGACCGCCGTATCGTTTATTCCGACCGCGTTTCTCTAGATACAAATTACCGGGTAATTTGTTGCGGCGATTAGTCATGAAGCGGAAGAATAAGATTGTCCTCCGTGAGACTGCTTCAAGGAACACAGAAACGCTGTTAGCCTTGTTCTCGAGTTTAAGAACGACACGCGTGAACGTTGATTATTTCTTTTACACATTCTTTTTTTCTCTTCGAAAATTGTATTATCGTTGTCGTAAATAATAACCGTCAAGCAGAGTGGTGAGACACGCACCGCTTTATCTCTATAGTTACTATTCAGTTTCGAGGAAGCAAAGTGATTACGTTAATTTAATATTGAACGTTGCATACTGCGTTAATTTCTTCATAAAGCTTCGAGGACGCTTTAAATTTAATTTATGCAACCAATTTGTTGAGACACTACTGGATTACTTATTTGAGAAGTATGTTTGTGGAATAGGAAGAAAATATTTTTGGTAGACTTACGCGAATGTTAAATATTAAATATCAAATATCAAATATTAAATATTAAATATTAAATATTAGATACATTTACAAGTTGCTCACACAATATACAGTAATGTATTATTTTATATTTTGACTCTTAATATTTAACATATCGATTACTTTATTAATTCTAGTTTAATTCAGTAACTAATAATATTGAATGTAACGATCCGTTCATCATTCCAGGACCTTCGAGACGCTGCTCCACCTGCTGAAAGGAAGCTTGGGAACCGGAATCCTCGCGATGCCGAAGGCCTTTCACCATTCCGGCTACGCTGTCGGTATAGTCGCGACGATCATCATCGGTCTACTTTGTACTTACTGTATACGAATCCTCGTCACCTCACAATACGAGCTCTGTAAACGGAAGAAGGTGCCGTCATTGACGTATCCAGCTACGGCGGAAGCTGCGCTGTCGGTGGGGCCAGCGCCTTTGAGGCGGTTCTCGAGGGCGTCAGTGTGAGTACACAATCTCCAATCACATTGATATCTCAATAAACAATATTATCTTCACCTAAATGGATGAAATTAAATACAATATATTCTCTGTTCACAGTCACGTGATAAACGTGTTCCTCATGATATATCAGTTGGGCAGTTGCTGCGTGTACACTGTGTTCATCGGCAGGAATCTGAAAACAGTTAGTACAAACTTTTCTAACTAAATCATTGGATTGATCATTGTAACCAGCCATCGCCCTGAAAACTCATTATCATTAGCTCATTTTCCGCGACAAGTATGCGCATACCTGGACCACGTGTACTAGAGCTGTTACTTGTGAGATCACATTTTGCTCGAGTGTTTCATAGATATCCAAGTCTCTCGCGTGCCCAGTTAACCCTTAATTATCGAGCTAAACAACTCAAACTTTCATCTATATCCACTAACGTTTCGACATATTTTCAGCACCAAACATTCCAGTTAATAGAGTTTCAATTTTAAAACAATTTGCTTCAATGAATAATCGTTAAAGCAATTTCTATATTAACCCCTTGCCTTATGATCTACTTCTTAACTGTGCTCGATAAAATATCTTTGTCGTTAACACTTTCATAGAAAAAGAAGCAAGTTTTATACTTCTTTTGTATCTATACTTACTCTAAAAGTTAAAGAGTAATAATAGACAGGCAATCCTTAATTTACATTAGAAATGAATAAGTAACACTTAGATTTGTCGAATTCCCTCTGAAATTTTCATCGCGCTGACACGTTATTATCGCTCAACGAAGGAAACCCGTAGAGTTCCGAAGACTTTAGCTCGGTAGTTAAGGGTCAAAGGTACCAGCTCTAGCGCGCACAGTCCTTGGAGACGAGCGGAAGCGCTAAGCATCGCAATGACGTATCTGGTACAGTGAGAACGGACACGGCGAAGCATCTGTCCGCGGAGCAGTCGCGGCGAACACGTTAATCCAGCTTTTACCGTAAAGAGTGCGCGGCCGGTCTAGAGACCGTCGTGTGGGCAGCGAGAAAAAAGGAGCATGTAGGTCAGGGAAACACGGCGCGAGGAATAAACGATTAGACGGAGAGCCGTCGCGGGTAATGAGCGACGGAGTCAAGGTGATAATGCCGCGCGCACGGCCAGGTTCGTTGACATTTCGCGGCGGGGAGGATGTGGCCGGCCGTTTAAAGGCTTATTTACGAGGACAACAACCGTTTCGGTCGTTGTCGCCGCGCGATCAGGAAGCTCTTCTGCTCGGTGAATGTTAACGCTGGCCGTGAGCCGTTGCCTCACGCCACTTCCTCGGCCCTCCGTTTCTGGACGATCATATCGAGACGCGTCTCGCGTGGAAAGTGAACGTTCAGTCTTGTCTGCTAGAGAGCTCGTCCCATCGAAGATCTTCCGATCGCCTGATCCTCTGATTCACCGATGGAATGAAGCGCTCTTTCTGCGAAGTTTGATCTAAATACCTACGATATCGAATTAGTCCACTGCTCTGTTCTTCGAATGACAAGAACGCAGACGTTCAATATTTAATCTATAAACCCGTGCGTCGGCTGGCTATCAGTATTTACTTAGATATAGGACAGCGAGCATCATCATGTTTTTCTTGACCCTAGAGGAAGTTCGGAAGTTTCCGGAATGTAGGTCGCATGCGAAGGTCAAAGGGATTTTAAGAGTAACGGTATTAATATTATAGTATTATTGTATATACGATACAAGATTAGAATATTAGATACTTAGTTCAACCGTACTTGGATGTATAGAAACTCCGCGGTTGAATCATCCGACGAGTTGTCTCGTCATCGCCGGTCACGATAGGATTAGTCACCGTGTTGCTTTGATCCACGAATTAAAAATTCCGTGGATCGCGCCGGTGATTCCCGGAGCGCTTAAGGATTCAAGGCGACGCGTCGCTCGGTGATCTTGGAATGATCCGGTAGATCGGAAGGACCAGGACCGCCCGAACGGCCGTAAATCGCGTGTAAGAGGTCGTTCGCCGGTCCGGTCCGATTCCGTTTCACTAGGATTCCCCTGCGCGCGATTCCGACTCCATTCCTATCACGTTCCAGGGCGTCGTAAAAATTTCAATCCGCCCGTTCGTTAATTCCTCGAGGTTCGTTAGCCTTTTTAAATACCGGGAGTCCGGCAGTCGAACAACTGACACGGTTAACAAACTAAGCCATTTATCGTAACCCAGTTCGACATCGCGGAATCGAGTTTCTCACGTTGCTGCGATCCTCGATTTACCTGTACGCTGGAAATATTCCTGAGAAAGCAGAGACTCGTAGACGCTAACAACCGCGAACTTTCCTTAGCCCTTTGCTTTACAATGACGTGTCAAACTTATGGTGAAGACTTTAAATAGAATTTAGCATAAATGTTACTCGATTCCTTTGAATTCAAATGAAATATTATTCTGCTGTTATCAGTTACCTAAAATCTTAACTCCCTTATGATGAAGCTTTTAAACAGTAATTATAAGTACTCGTGACTTCTTGCTTTTAAGTTGAAAATAAATGCTATTTTTCTATTGTGAATATTGTATATAGTAATATTAAGTGCAAACGTATAGCTACAATAGAAAAATATCAGAATGTACAATCCTGTGTCTCTATTTATCTATTAAGGATAATATAATCAGCTACAGAGGATAGTTGCGAAAGAAATAGCGAGATATATGTTCAGCAACGTTGTAAAGAGGAAATTGCGATTGGGTCAAATACGACCCAGGCGACACGGTAGAGTTAACATTCGATTTCGCGGTGGATTTGGGAAAAAAATCGCTCGAGGCGATTCGTGTGATAGTTTACGGGGACTCGGCGTCGGTTTGGCCGGTGAGTGGAACGCGTTGCGTACCGCACAATGTAATGGATAGTTAGCAGCAGTTGCGACACATGTTATTACGGCAAGTGGATAGAGAATGTAGATGCAGCGGGCGCCGCGCCGTTGGCGAAAACCTGAGCCTCGTTGTGGTCAGGCGAGCGTGAAAGAGCGCGCTCGATCCTTCGTAGTCGAGACTTTTACGAGGGAAGGACCGTGACCTATAGTCCGGATAGTCTTGCCTGATTTATCGACGCGAACCACGCCGAGCGAACACCTGTTCCTCCCGGTGTGGCAATTTTTATATTCGGAACTTTTCGTAATTTCGTTCTTACTCTGTAATTCTCGAAAGTATCATCTCGAGTGAAGTTCGAGAATACTTGTGTACCTGGCACAGGTTGGTTATTGTATTACTATAATTTATACTAGTCAATATTTTATTATTAATCATCTAACTGCAATCTTCAGGGAAATCCTGCAGGTGAAAATTGAACCAAAATCAATTTCTATAGAAACTGTTATTCTTTCTGACAAATGTAAATTTGGTTTATTTCGATTTCCCTTGGAAACTGTTATTATTTCTAACAAATGTAAGTTTGGTTTACTTCGATTTCCCTTGGAAGCAGATCATTTAATCGTACGATAGATATTAGAGTGTAAGTAAATTAGGTGAACATTCTCAGCGATAGTTCATAGTCATCTAGGCACACCAGTTGTTCCACAAGCTGGAAGACCAAGGACGATTCGCATGATTGAGCGTCGATCAGGCTCATTTCTCTATAATCTTCGACAGTGAAAAATCGGAGAAATCAATTCTCTAAAGGGAATTCGTGAATGATTAATATAACGTCTCGGCCTGTTGTATAACGCGGTGCTAGTCGATTAGAATCGGTTCGATTCAGCAGTGACAGGAACTTAGTTGTATGTAATTTTCTGCGGACGTAAAAAGTTCAAGAGTGTCGAGACATTTTTTCAGCGTCCGAACATGTCCGTTCGATCGTGACCCGACCGGTTTCCTGTAGACTAGAATGAATGATATCATTCGTGTGAATGATAATCCTTTCTTCTTACCGGAATAGAAGTTGTCCTCGCAAGAAAAGTTGCGGCAATTGCTTAATTATTCAATCAGAAAGCAGTGAGCATTCTTTTCGAAAGAAAAGTTGATTATTCAGAGATCTTCTTCGTCACCGAATTAATCTAATTAATCGTTTTAATCTAGATCACGTCTAATGAACATTTTGCGTCTCGTTAGTCATTAGTATGCCCTTTGCGGACTGGTAATTTGAAATTGGAAAAATGGTTTACCATAGCCGTAGAGCTAGATGAAAAAAGTGCGGATCGATTGGAAATGGAACGCCTCAAGGCGGTCCGCATCGTCAAGTTTCTTTTTCTGGTCGTCTTTAACGACGACGTCGGACCTTAAGCGAGACGAGCCGGCAACTCGACTTATTGTACTTAGTTGGCGTTTTTCGCTGCTCGCCGACTAATGGAATTCGCTTCGTTAGTCAGAATGATTAGCAGGAACCGTTGATTAATGGAAATATTACAATTTGTCTCGTCGTTGTTGACATGTTACGTTCAATTACGACGAATTATCGATATGTTATTACAATTATCCACTCTTTGATTTATGGTGCTGCGCCTCGCGTGTTATCACTGTGAATAATCAAGTATTACACCTGACGGAATATTACGTCTGATCCAATCTCTCGTTCAACGAGATTTTCACGACCGACGTAACACCTTATCAGACTCGAAGGTTAGAAATACAATTGAAGGAGTAAATATCATTCAATTCTTTTCAAATTGAACATTGCTCTTTTCTTATTATTAACACATTGACTGCCACGAGAATTTTGACTGTTTCGTACAATAATATTTATCCTAGCATAAGTTAAGTATTAAAATATTATCAGAAATACATATTCAGAATATGGTGATATAGTACTCATATGAAGCTATCTAGTTACTTATGTTACTAAATATTTTCATTCATTATACATAGTATAATGATATATATATAGTACTCATATGAAGCTATTATCTAGTCACTTATGTTACTAAATATTTTCATTCATTATATATAGTATAATGATATAGATATAGTACTCATATGAAGCTATTATCTAGTCACTTATGTTACTAAATATTTTCATTCATGAATTTCCTTATTGTAAATGTTCAAGCAATTTGGAAGCTCCGGTCACCGGTGACCACCATGGCAGTGTTAACTATGTTTGAAACTTTCGTTACAGAATAAGTATATTCTTTTCTCTCTAAGCAGTTCTATCTAATGCAACTTCGAAATTATAGGTCAATCAATCGTGATTAACAATAATCGACGTAATGACACTTTCGACAGAAATTTCGCCGGAGAATCATTCACTGTGTCGCTGGTAACAGTGTGCGTTAGACGCAAGGATACGGCGGCGCGTAGCATCACGTCTAATGGAAACACGGTTACGTAAATTCGAGCGCGTTCTGCAAGACGCGCTGCCGCTGTATTAGCATAACGCTGAGACGGGATTGCATCGATTGAAACGTATTACGCGATGCTACGTGTGCCACGTGTAATTAACGAAATCACGGTGTTGCGCGCGCGGTACGCATCGGGAAAGATAGGTTTCTAAACAGATCCTCGTTTCCGTCCCGTTAATTATTGTCTTACCATCAATTACGCTGTTTTTCTGCTTTGACACTTTGATGATGAATGCTGTCGCATTCTCGTCGAATTTTCAAGTGAAACAATGTAAACGATAATCGAAGATTATCAAAAGTTTCATTAAATATCTCGATCGTAGAAGAGAATTAATTAATTATAGAAATAACAAGGGATCGGTAGCTTTCTTTTTTTAATTGTGAGTTTTCATTACTCAGAAGTTGGACGAATTGGCTAATTGATTAATTGCACCGATTATTGTTAATGTTCGGTATAATCATTATATAAAACTCGTTGCTGAATGGGCCGTTTACGCAACCCCGCGAAAGAGGAAATTCCTTCTTCCGCGGAACAGAGAGAAATTGGATTGCGCACGAAAGAGAATCGAACACGAAAAAAGTGTGTTCGCCATTCGTTACGTCACCGGATTACGGTCGGCCTTACGTAAAAGACGAACGCTGAACGACGCGCAATGAGCCCGTAAAAATAGTGCAACGTATTAAACGCGTCCAGGCTCATTTCCGGTTGTCCTTGAACAGGCGCGATATCGATCATCGCCGCGTGTCGATAACGATCGTCCCGCTATTGTTAGCTCGGCGTTAAAAATAATACATCTAAGCTGCGGTAGGAAGGCGACAGGAAACGAAGAGATTGGAAATATAGAAATTAAAAAAAATCATAAACGTAGAAATTCTGAATTAATAAGAAAATAATAGAAAGACAGTAGGAACCGAAACTACTATAAAAATGGTAAAGACAATCGATATTTCAGATTAAACGAACAAAACAATAGAATCACAGATACACGCTAGAAGTACCAAGCATTAAATATAATTGATATATAATTCTTACAAAAATTGTAACTATAATTGTTCATTGTAGTATTCAAGTGAAACTACTTATTTCTTCAGTCATTTCGATAATAGAAAAAGATCATAATTGCGAAACGAGAGAACTGAAACCAATAATTTTGACTGGTATACAGTAGTTCCAGCGTTCGAGAAGAAAAACGGGAAAGAGCACAAGGTTTCGTCGAACATAATAGCTCGTTCTCCGCTCTGAATCAAAACGACGCAATGAAGTTTCCCATTGTTGGCTCATTTTCACGTTCGGAAATCGCCTGGACGTCGAACGCGCCTGAAGCAGCTTCGAACGCGTTCGACTTGCAGAACCGAGGTTCCGAACGCACCGGGAAAATGGGCGAAAATAACAGCACCAATGTTTGCGTCGTTATGATTTCAGATCGTCCGGTAAATAATGCCGTCACGTGGGAAAGTATGTATCGGTCTCGGTTACATGTGCGTCGAGGGAAGGTATCTATCGGTGTACTGTGTTATCGAGGTACGTAGAACGCAGACACTTGAAACGATGCCGATAACAGAGTATATCTAATTAGGTAGCGGTATCGGCTTGCATAACGATCCTCCGGCTAAAAGATGCCGTTTTATCGACGGTTCACGGCTCGGCCGTTGCAAGATCATTCAGATCATCCGTTGCGTCATCGATTTGAAAGCTTATCCTTATCCCGGGCTCATTCAACTCGTTCCACGTGTTCGATCATTATCGGACCGAGTCTGCCTCTAATGAATTAACGCTTTGACTTGATGTTTCTATATGAACTAAAACATTCGATTTCGGTTCTCTAACCAAGACCTTCGTTGGATGTACGAGATATAAGAAAGACATCCTCCAACTGAATAAACAAATTTCGACGTTCCCAAAATTCGGTTTCTTTAGCAACCACCGGAAAATGTCAGTTTTCGTATTTCGCGATTATCTTAGATAAGTATTCGAAATCATTTGAAAAATGGATAGTTTCACTTCAACGCTATGAATATATGAAGAAACCGAAAAGAAATCTGTTACAATGTTTATAAGGATTGTTAATCATGTTGAACGCTCGGTTGTTCTAGTTTAAACCGTATCGACTGCATGGGAATTTCTACGGTTCATGGTAGTTCACTCGACGGTCAAAGCGTTAAACGAATAAGAGAATCTGAAATTTGCGGTTCGAATAACAAGCGCTGTTTTCTTTCCAGGCGTTGGAAGATTATTTTCCGGACGTTGACGTGAGGCTGTATATGCTGATAATTCTGTTGCCACTCATCTTGGTCAACTGGATCAGGAATCTGAAGTTCTTAGCTCCCTGCTCGACCGTCGCGACCGGTATCACGTTCGCCAGTTTCGGTATAATACTGTACTATATCTTCAGGGAGCCATTGTCCTTCGACCACCGGGAGCCGATCGGCAAAGTCGCGGACTTCCCGCTCTACTTTGGCACCGTGCTCTTTGCTTTGGAGGCTATTGGCGTGGTGAGTATACTAAATCCATGATTAGACTGTCTAAGAGTGATTGGATAGATCGCTTGATTAACTTATTATAAAATATAATTTCAGATCATGCCTCTGGAGAACGAGATGAAGAAACCTAAGAGCTTCATCAAGACCTTCGGAGTGTTGAATTTTGGAATGGGGTGCATCGTGGTGCTCTACACCTCCCTAGGATTCTTCGGGTACATCCGTTACGGCGCAGCCGTCGACGGCACCATCACAGTCAATTTAACCGAGCCCATGGTCTTAGCCAAATGCGTGCAGATCCTCCTCGCTATCGCCATTTTCTTCACGCACCCTATTCAGTGTTACGTACCCATTGACATCATCTGGAACGAGTACATCGCTCCGAAGTTGGAGAAGAACTCGTACAAACTATTGTGGGAGTACGTCGTGAGGACGTCGCTCGTTCTTCTCACTTGTAAGAGAACTCTTTCGATTAGTGTCGTAAAGTTTGTTATATATTCTATCATGGTTTCTCAATTTTCGTTTTTATCTTTCAGTCCTACTGGCCATCGCCATCCCCCAACTGGACCTGTTCATCTCTCTATTTGGTGCTCTCTGTCTCTCCGGTCTGGGGCTGGGTTTCCCCGCCATCATTCAGACCTGTACAATGTGGAATGCCTATGGCAGGACCGGGAAGATACTGATGGTAGCCAAGAACATGTCGCTAGTCCTGTTCGGGCTGCTAGGTTTAATAGTAGGAACGTACACGAGTCTTCGTGAGATCATCAACAGCTTCTCTTGAAGTGGTTTCTTCGGTGAGGAGGGAACCATGAACGAATGGCAGGAGAGAAGAGGTGGAATGGAGAGGGTGTCGCGTTGTCCTCCGCAACGGATGCACACGGCAACGCGGGAGGTCTCGTCGTCTAAGCGAATACTGAACGATCGAGCCTGGACGAGGATCCCTCTCTTTTCTCGGAGACGTACTTTCTAATAACGTTCGTTCCACAGAAAAGACGGAATGTAAATCATTTCGGAATGATAACGACCGAGAAAGCGACCCGCCAAGCGTGTCGCGATTGGTGACCTTTGCGATACATTTTCTATGAGAATCCAGATCGCCTGTTGACCAGGGACTGTTTTTATCTGTTCGTTACTGCCGTGTTTAGTTTGTTTTTTCATTCACGGACGTAGAGATTAACAATAGAGAGATGCGCGCTAGATCGTTGAGATCAGTCGAGGTAGCGGCTTAACTGGCTTGTCCGTCGGACCGTGAGACAATGCAACAGCTTGATCGCGTAAAGTGCCTTCTGAACGCATTTCGGTTTATTTATATAATTTTAAGTACATAACACGCATCGTTTCGTTCCCCGTACAAGGATTTTTTCATTTGCCCACGGCAATCTGCTGTTGCATTTGTGCCAAGTGATCCCTTGCCGTGGTCAAAGAACGAATACTCGTAACCATTTCGACGTAAGATTAGCTACTACCAATCGTCATTATGTTCATTTTAATAAAACGATCTGTTCAGTGTTTTATATACATACCTCGCACGTGACTGCATTAGAATCCCGAACGTTCGAATCCTGATGCCACCAGTCCCACTGAATCCTGTGAAGAAAGCATTCATCTTCTACGCCATCTTTAATTATTCCAGCAACAGTCATCGAGTGATTCTCAGAAGATGCTTAAGTTTATTACAATCACACTGGTGGTAGGTTACTTAAACCTTATTTTTAAGACACACTTCCTCTCCTACAATAACTATTCAATTATCCCACAACAGGAAATCGACTTCTGCAGACAAGAGAACACCAACGATAGCGCAAGTATTGCTCACGAAGAAGTATTGCAACTGAATAGGTGATTCCCCGATCATTTACCATCAGTACCTTTAAATCGTACAAAGAAGCGAGCAAATGAAAGAGCCACAATCTCCCTAAAAAGGGTCTAGCTACTTAATAATGACCCACGGTCCTGAATTCGCGTTGGTAAATTAGAGGCGATGCAAGCTTATACGTCCGACGAATGAAAGCGACTCGATTGATCCTTGATCAGCGGCGGAGAGGGCAGAGTTCATGGGCGACGGTTACTCGCGTGAACGCCATGAGATGTCGCCGGTTCTTACGGGCTTATGGATCACCGCCGGGGTGGCTGCCCCCGCGTGCATCGAAGCGATCCCCTGCGCACCCTCGCCGCCAGCGCGGACGGCCTGGAGCGGTTCATGCAGTGTTCCAGTTGCACGTGTGCAAGCGACCCCATGTCGATCGGAGCTCCATCCGTGTGTGTGCGGCCTGCACACGCGTCCCCGTGTTACTCGTCGGCTTAGCTCACCCTGCGAGCCTCTCCCTTTCGCGTCCGTCCGGCCCGTTCGCCAGTGAACGTAAGTTGCGTACCGATCGCCGCACCAAGCAGTTAGAGATGACGCTTAACGATCCGGCTGTGGTAGATCCAGCACTAGGCAGCTAGAGCTACGGCCAGCCTCCCTTTTCGTTCGGCACGATGCACGATGGATGGTCGCGATCCTTTCAGGACCTTCGAGGATGAGAATTATCAGTGAATATCTTCAGTGTCAAGTGTATATTCTTACATCTCTTCTGCATAGATTGAGGACAATAGCTGTGGACTCTAATCTTCGCTTATAGACCACTGGAATTTCAATGTTCGGTGAAGGAGAAATACTCGAGATGGTTTTGAGATTGTTGAGATAGGGTCACTGGTGAATATATAATTTTGAAGCGTGTTCACTGGAGTTTCATTTTGTGTATGGTCTCGATAAGGGGTAACAACGAGGCTGATAGATTTAGATCTTCGTTATACTGTTTTTGTGTTGACACGGCGACGGCGGATTATGTAACACGGAGTGCTATTGAGCGGGTCTCGATTGCAGAGAAGCGATTCCGGTTATTCTGGAATGTAATCGTTAAAGAAGCTTTGTTCGGTCAATATGTTCGTGAATTGTTATCCGGACTTAGGGCAATTGGAGTTGTTCTTTACTTTACGTTTATAGTAGGGGTAACAACACAGCTGATCTTTTCGAAACAATTTATAGGCCACTTACGTGCTCGACATTTAAGCGGCGTTTCAACAGTTAAATTTATCATGCTACGTAAACATTGACTATTTATAGAGTAAGAATATATAACATGCACAAAAGGGTATCACAAAATTTAGAATTTTTTAACATAGGAAAGTATACCGTAAGATCTGAAAATCTGTCATGAATGTGCTTATTTGCTACGTTATTGTTTAAACATTCCAATACTGTGATTTCTTATTCATTTCGATCAACGAAAAATTTTCTGAAAGCTACAGAAAATCGACGACGTAGAATGAATAGGAAAAACTGATAGATGTCGATGACCTCGTTAGAATTACGTTCAGAGAATGATTAGCGGTTTGCGGAAAATTGTTCGGCCCCGGGTGACCGTATAACCCCCTGCGCGTCACGATCGATATATTCCCTTTTAAACCTGCCGGCCGATTCACGGTGCAAGGGTGTGCTCGATTCCTTTCACCTGCGCGAATAGCACTGCGATGTCAATCTCTCCCGGCGTATCGTTCACTCGGTAATCATTTGCAAACGCATAGGTCGTATCCACGAGATAAGGGAACCGCGGATCGTGTACTTTTTATTCAGCACCCTCGACGATGAAATCTGTATGATTCATGGCACTTTGTTCTTCACGTAAACGTGTCACTCTTCTGTTTGAAAAACTGCAACAGGCGTAACAAAGTTTCTAGTGCCACTTATGATTGAATAATGTTATCTATACAGTAATATTATCACTTGGTAATTTTGAATATTACCTAGTTATTATTAGTTGATTGTTTCTAATGATATTAGTAACAAAAACACTCTTTTAAAGAGAACGTTCAAATGAATTCCACTAGATTTTATGATTATGGATAGAGGATAATTTGACTATTTTGTCTTGCCTTCGTTCAGTCCAGTTCCTTATTAAAGAGGATTGATTGCTCGTTACAAGATGTTTATTATAATTCTGAAAAGAATTATAGATTGTAGTATTATGTGAACAGGGTCAGTTATATTGAAAGATGCTTTTTAGAGAAGGTTTTAGGTTTCCAATATGCAAAAACTGTATTCCGATATTTACCCTTGCCGAAAGATGACCTTCTGTATCCGCAACTTGATCCTTTCCACGGTTGCTAGACCCTTTGTGGGTCAATCGATAGCTTCGCTTCCAAACTTGACGTTAATGTGTGTTTATATGTCTCGCATCGCCAAATCGTGTACTCACTCTTCTTTTATAGCTATCCTTGAAAATTCCTAGAGAGAACAAACAAGCATTTAGTGAAATGAACATTCGGGGGAAGCCAAGAGCTCTATTAGACCCTACCTTGAACTCTTTTCTGTAACCACTGGCCATCTATCTCTTGAAAACAATGAAATCGCATTTAAATTACCAAATATCTTCACATCCACATTCGTATTTGTTCCAGTCGAATATAAAGAAGATATTAGCCATACCAAAGACCATCAAGAGGAAGAGAGAAGCTGTAACTATGAGCTTCATTTTAGAGTTACTATCAGAAACCACATTCTTCAAACTATCTTAAGTAACTCCTTCAATTATTTATATAACGCCACTTAATTGAACTTAAACCATTAGATCATATATTATACTTCATCTAGTTATATCATTACTATACTTTATATGTTATAGTATATTCGATTCTAGTTTTCAATCGAAACTAACCGAAACATTATACTTCATCATAGTTTTTAGTCGAACGTCGAAAAACTGTCGAATCCTACCTTCAGTCCACATCGTCTCCAGCTTCCTCCGCCGCTTCAGTTCGCGAGCAGAGCCTCGGCGGGACTGCAGCCACCGTGGCTCCTCTAAATCTCGTGTGCCTCGGCCCGCTGTCGATGGCTGCACCGGAGGCGTAGTCTTCTAACTTGTGCATCACGTGAGCTCTGGTGTCTCGTTGGAAATTGAAATGTTCCGCGTTTTAGCGCTGCCCAGTCGCTAGACATCCTCTGTCGCGGCCGCATTAGCGTTAGGAAGTTCCCTCTTAAAGATCGTGTTACAAGTCCGTCTGTCCGGCCACTCGAGCGAATTTCGGCTTCCCCCTTGCTGCGGATGTGTTTAATCTGGTAAGTCTCGGCACGGCCGCACTCTGCACCCTACACATTTTTATGGATCTTCTGGCTCTGGATCTGCTGGATCCTCCAGTTTACGTTCGAACCTCCGACGCCATGAGAATTAAGTCTTCCCGGTTAGGAAATTAGAGAACATTCTAAAACTGAACTGAAAGCTAGTTGTTCACGCTACAGCGAAGATTCTGGGCTGAAGATCGTCTAACAGGTTGTTGGCGCGAGTGACGTAGATGTCGGGTAGCTAAGGGTTTCTTCGTACCAGTAGAATCTAATTCTCATTGAACCGTCTGATCATCGAATTCTTTTGACATTCGAACGATAGAAATATTTACTGAATATCTTGTTCGTCAGTTTGTAGCAAAGGCTGCGAAGATTATAGGCTTCACAGGTTGCTGGCACGATTGTGATATAGAGTAGAATAGATTTCGGTAGCGACATCGGTTTGTATATTTCTTCTTGCCACAAAACTGCCAGTTTTTCATGTGATTCAGATTTTAGATTTTTATATTTCTAGAATGACGAATTCGCTGGTTCGTTTTTAGTCTGTCAGAACGTCCTAATAGATTGAACCGCACAACGGCGACGGGATGGTTGATAGAGACGCCATCGGGTCTAAAAATGGCAACTGTCAGCCAATTCATTCACGGCTATTGCGAACGATACGCGCGGCAAATACGCGAGCCGGGGGCACGAGCGAGGGAAACATGAGACCATAACGCACGATTATTCAAAGATGGATAACAGGTCGCCGATACGATGTCACGCCAATTGGAATGGGCAGGCGGTTCAGCTATTGCATAACGGTCCCCTCATCGATCTTAATAGCGTCCGTTCGGTACGCTTCCCAAGAAAACTGGGGGACGGTTAATTAAAAATCGAGATATTTTATTCGTTACGCAACCGCAGAATATATAAAAACGGATCCATTAAAGGAGCATCTGTCGGACATCGTCGCCTTCGCGAGACGTTGCTCGGAGATCCATGGATCAATTGGGAAGACCTCGTGGACGTATTTTTAAGCGACAATTAAAGATTTCGCTCGTCTATCTTTAACGTTGAGCGGAGAATGAAATTTTCATCTCGGCGGAGGATTCTTTAGAGGGTACCATTTCTTTTCATTGAAAATTATTCGAGTTGATAGAGGTAGATGGTTTAGCTACCTTCTTCGAGAATGTTGCGACAGTTTATCTTTCGTGTTAGTTGATTGTTCGAAATCTCGATTTTTCGGTCGAACGTTTGGCATTTCTAGAATTCGGAAGACCCCGTTCCGGTTTCGTGGCATCGGGTCGCAGAATTCTTTCGCTGTCTAAAATTAGCAGACACATAAATATCCCCTGTGACATTGTTTCGGGGCTGCGCGGTGACGAGCCGTTCGACGTGTCCCCCTGATCCGCGCTGAGGAAGTAAGAATTAGGAGATCGATTACTATACTTAAGCCGCGTCGAACGTAGACCGACGGGAGGGCGACTCAAGTGGGCAAAGGTGACGACATGTTGACGGTTTGCCCCAAAAAATGTTCGCTGCTGAGCTCTGCTAGTAATTTCGGAATATCGGGAAATCTCGTTTCAAAAGAGATGTTTCAAAATCCTGAAAGAATCTTGTATCAGAACGCTGAAAAATCTTTCAAAAAGATGCTTAAGAAACTTAAAAAGTCACGTTATTCATCTTCATCGCTCAACCGATTTCCATAACATAAATTGAAAATAATTGTCGACGAGATACGAACGGTATTTACTTGTTTATTCTAACGATTACTGGTATTTTTCAGGAGAAACGCCGTCCACCGAAGAAAGTTGACAAACATATCCGGCCTCAGAAACCCACGTCCGTCTCCGTCGTTAAGAGGTGAGAGACCGAGCAGAAGAAGCAGTCATCGATTTTATACCGTAACGTTTCGGCGAACCGATAAGCGTGAAACCCGCACCGTCTGGTCCTGCATTAATAGTCGGCGCGCGCAATGTCAATGACCAAATGAAATTGTTAAGGAGCGCGTCGTGGCCGTGTTGCGACCAGTTTAAACGGGCCTTTGTATGCGATAATAAGTACCATTGACATAGACAAATGAGCGCCGAATTTAGACTGTCGCGCGGGACGAGGCTGTGTCAAGGATCCCGCTCGCGGCGTGAATGATTTAAGGCACGCTCGTTAGCGCCGATATTTCCGGAACCGCGGAGTTCTCTTATTATCGGCGCATCTGTATCATTCTCGTCTCGCGATAGAGTCAATGTTCAAGGGTCACCGTTACTGTTGCATTCTAGCGATTAATCACAATAATAGCTGTCGTTACTATCTACAGCCACTATTCCATTAGACATCTGTTTTCACTATAACTGTTACTATTATTCCTTCGCTAGACTACCGTTTCAATTACTGGAATCAACATTAACCCTAGAATTACCAGATCAAAATGACCCTTAGATACATTTACAATTTTCAAGGAAATACACTTTTCTAAGGAACTTAGTAAATTGATTTACTAATATTATAAATTATAAATCAATCGAAATCTTTATGTAAATTGTAATATGTTATAAATAACATCAAACGGTTCGATCCCTGGTTAGTTCTAGCGTTAGTCCCACCACCGTTACTAACAAAATCGCTGGCACAAGAATCTCCGATACGTCGCGCGATTCTCCAAATCGCCGCGCGGACAGCTGTTCGCGTGTGTCCCAGCGATTGCATCTCCTCGGATGATCATTATTCAATCAGATTGAATTCGCGAGTCCGCTCGAGTTGTCCGGCTTCCATTCAGCGTGATTCGCTCGCTAATTAGATAATGGTTTCCGCGTTTTTGAATTTATTTTCCCCGTCGCCGGCGAGCGCGGGCCTGGAAGCGGCGGCGCGTCGCGCGTTTTCTTCCTCTCGCGGGACCGTTCTGGACCGATCGTTCGATCGGCGCGGACGTAACGCCGCGCGCGGCGGAGACCTTTTCTCGTCCGGGCTCCGGACAACCGTGGATCAATTGACGACGGAGAAGTGAGAATACAGATCGTGTAACCTTCAGTAAGTTAACTACATTTGACCTCAATGCAATAATTAAGAGCAATCAGTTCGTGAAAGAATGTGTCAAAGCGCGCGCGACGCGGCGCGACGCGGAGCCGAACGAGAAGAGATTCGTAACGATGAATTGGCGTTTTTCTGCAGTCGTCCCGTGCGTCGCCGTTGCTCCATATCCGCCAATTGATTAGGGGGGCTTAACGCGCGGGCCCGCGGCAGATCTAGGTCGATTCTCTGATCCTTAAACGATCGCGCCGGAAGACTCGGAAGAGCGGACCCGCGAATTCGTGGGCGTGATCGATTAGCGATGAGAAACGTCCTGTCCAGCGAACACTTTGTTACTGCCAAGGAGTCGAACGAATGGAAAGTACTCGTGGGATCGTCTTGGACGTCTTCGGATTGGTTTGGACATGGTTTGGTCGACCTGGAGCTATTCTGATGATAACGCACGCTTGGCAGTAACTACCGAGCAGCCAGATTGGCTTCTTTTTATTCTTTTAGTGATATTATAAGAGAATTTATTAAGATCGTTGACTGATATGTTAGATCATACATCGCTACATCAGATTGTTTAGTCGTTAGTCTGAGAAACTTGTATCTTATGAATGATTGTAACAGGAGAACGAATGTCATTTTGACCTGTCTGGTAAGTTTAGCGTTGAACTCAGAGAGGTCATCTTGTAGAATGTACAAAGGCGAATGTAGAGGATGGAATTATTCTAGGAATATTTTCATAAGGTCTTTAGAATCATTTTCTAGTTAGAAAAGATGAGTGGTCATCTTCTTGTAGAGTCGGTATTTCTTTGAAATGGATAGTTTCATTATAAAGATTGCAGTAAGATTTCAATATTTGTTTACAATTATCGTTTGGCATGACTTGAGACGGTTTGTTTGAGAATATCGTAAACGTTGTATCCTCTAATATTTTGTTTCCTTGGTTGCGCAGGTGCCACGAGGAAAGATGGACAACGCTAAGGAAGAGACGATAAACATGCAACTCATCGGTTCCGAGAGTCCGTACAAGTATGTCTAATTCCACTTGCTGCGCGGTCTCGCTGGGTTGGGGTTAAACAAGATTGAAATTCGTCGGATAAGCTTGTCCGCCGCCGCTAACTGTAGAACCGCCGTTGAACGCGCTAGAATAAGAATATTCATGTATTTACGAATTGCGGTTCGTTAAGTACGCGCGCATGGGGCATCGCGGATTTCGCTAACAAAACTCGGAAACACCGATTACATTTGCAAATTGATGCGATTGCAGAGTTAACAATGAAATCGCCGGAAGTGGCCTGAACGCGTCGGAAGTCCCAATATCGCCGGCTTCGAACGTGGAAGACTACGACCCCCATAAACATCGAAATAGGCCGAACCCAACTTCGTGAGTATTTCAAGCTTTTTCTTCAATGATCAACGAAGATCAGAAGATACAGAAGACTCTCGAGATTGTCGAAGAAAATGAATTATAATTAGTCGAACCTCTTGTAGTTTAATGTAAGAGAAACGCAGGAATATTTATGTTCCACTGATTCTTAAGCGCAACGTTTGAAATTAAAGTAGAATCTAAGCGATTGGATGATAATAGTATGCTCTGCTTTCAGAAACACGGAAACGTTGATCCACTTGTTGAAGGGAAGCCTCGGGACAGGGATTTTAGCGATGCCCAACGCGTTCTGCAACAGTGGACTGGTGACTGGTGTGATAGCCACAGTGATTATCGGAGTGTTATGCACTTATTGCCTCCACGTACTAGTGAAAGCTCAGTACAAACTGTGTAAACGGTTAAGAGTTCCTATATTGAGTTACCCGATGAGCATGAAGTACGCTCTCGAGGGTGGTCCAGTATGTGTCCGGTGGTTCGCACCTTACGCCCCGTAAGTAGGAGACAGTGTACACGGGCACAGAAACGCATACAAACATTCGTTCTCTTCTTGTTCATCATTGCGGTCGCTTGAACATTGATTCGCGAATGATTGCGGACTTCATCACTGCGGAATATACGCTGGTTGCTGTACAAGCTTCGGGAAAGAATGAGAATAGGTTTTATTATTTTTATATAATTTCCATTGTGTTAAGTCAGCACTTTCTGAATTTAAAGTGTGAAGCTTCATGAGAATAAGAAACAACTGAATTCCAGTAGATTCCTGAAACTTTTGCAGAAACTTACGTGTATGATTGATAGATTGCGGATTTGCATGTGTTAGGAAAGTTGGATATACAAGATTATATAGTGTTTATAAAGTATCTAAAGTCTGTTAAGAGAGCATTTCTGGAATTATTTGAGAAACCTAAAAATATGAATTTGCATGAAGATCCGCTGTCTGATGATTAATTATTCCAAATTAGTCGTGCATTTAGGGTTTGAACTGTTAATGAAAGAGGAGTTCGAATTATTTGAACGTCCACAGTCGAGTCGTTAGAAATTAGTAAATTTGTTCTATTCTGTCTCTACATTCTTTGATTAATTATTGAGACTATATTGAATTGGCAGTAACAGAATGAACGAGCAAATTGCATTACTCAAAAGTATAATTTCATTTACACAGTTGTGTGTCACGAGTACAATTTTTGGAGATCTAGATGGATTTAGGGAGTGACATATAGTTTGTGTAACTTTCTTGAAGCAAATATTGTCTGATCATGATGGATTGATTCTACTTTCGTCTTCAATTTTTTAGCTGCCAATGCTAATAGCCGACAATAAAATAAGGTTTACAAACTTGCAAACTGGAATTGTTCTTTAACTTTCTCTTATCAGTAATCGAGCTTATGAATTGACAGAATGAACACTTCAAAGAACTTAAAAATCTACACAACAGTTCACTGAATTGAAACGAAACGTACAAACAGCAGGTAGTTTCAACTTTTCCAAAAAATAGCAATAATCTTCAACAGATATACATAATTCCTGACAGTCTTGAAAGACCAAGCAATGATTTCATTTACATTGAACAAGAACCGCATTACTAGAAACTAATTTCAATTAATATATTTCACATCTGATGAACACTTCCGCGTCTCTTTCTCTCTCTTTCTCTCTCTCTCTCTCTCTCCCACCTCTCTGACTGTCTCATGCACGCACGCACAATCATCTCACACAGCGGCGTCACGGCTCTCCTTCAATTGTAACATGAAAGTTGCTATTATTTCCAGAGGACTCGTAGACGGGTTCATGATAGCGTATCAATTGGGAATATGCTGCGTTTATATCGTATTTGTAGCGTCGAATATAAAGCAGGTAAATAACCAGGCGCGGAGATCAATCCTCCACGTCCGCCCCAAAAAGCGGAAGCAAAAGAAAAGTCAAAGAAACCAAACAGAAAAAAAAGATAATAAAGTAATAGTAACAAAAGACAAGGAAAAAAAGAGAAAAAGATACTAAAAAGTTCCGTCAGAATCGATCGTTTTCGGATGTTCTAACGGTTCCCCTTTTTCTGTTGGTCGAAACAGGTGGCGGACGAGTACTGGGAACCCCTGAACGTTAAAACGCACATGCTTATCTTGTTGCTACCTTTGATTCTAATCAATTACGTGAGGAACCTTAAGTTGCTCGCGCCGTTCTCCACCCTGGCGAACGCGATCACGTTCGTAGGGCTCGCCATGATCCTAGTCTACATGTTCGACGACCTTCCATCCCCCAGCGAGAGGGAGATGTTCGGCACGCTGAGAGGCTTTCCCCTTTACTTCGGCACCACGCTATTCGCGCTGGAGGCTGTAGGCGTGGTAAGTTCCTTTCAACGTTAACTTTCATTTTCTCAAACCATTTTATTCTTCGACCCCTAACACACCTTCTTACCCCTTACTCTTCCACCCCTTTTTAGAAAGGGTGATCTGAAAACAATGCAAGGACAAGATTCTATAGAAATATTTAAAATTGTTAATTATCTCTTCACAGACAATTTGCTACGTTCGTTTCATTAATTTCTCATTTTCGATATTATCAAAATGTGCACTGTAAAGTGTTATTAGCTACTCAGTGTCAGTGCTCGCGATCTACCCAGCATTCCCATGTGGAAAAATTGAACAGTAGCAATTGCAAAGTGAACGCTGTGGAATATTTCCGTTGGGCGATCTGGAACGATATCATCGACGTTTTTAATTTTAACCGTATCCCCGATCGATCTATCATTTGGCCTCGTCGATCGTCCGGCTGCCGGCGAAACGAGTAGCCTGCGCCTAGAATAGATCAACGGCGCCGCCGCATCGTTAATAAACAAATAACTGGCCACTTACGAGCAAGTTTGAGATTGCCGTGATCAGATTGCCAGTGCGTCAATACAATCCCCGATATTGCTTCCCAGCTGTTCTCAGTCTGAAGAGCGAGACACAGTGGTCCTCAAAGTTGACCCTCCGTTTCTCTTTCCGTGGAAATTACACGGTTTCTCATAGAAATGATTATTATAAGAAATATTGCGCTCCAATGGCGATTAATTGAACTTCGTTTTATTATGTATTTAGCTGAATAATCTTTCCCATTTATTTACGATCAACATATTTTTCTGTTGTAGATCATCGCGCTAGAGAATAATATGAAAACTCCGCAGTACTTTGGAGGATACTGCGGCGTTCTCAACATTGGAATGACGGTTATAGTGACTCTCTACATTCTCATGGGATTCTTCGGATACATCAAATACGGACCCTTGGCTGGCGCTAGCGTCACCTTCAATTTGCCCCGCGACCAGATGTGAGCAAGCCGTCGTTACATAAATTTATATTGAAATTTACATTCGAACTGTCCACTGTTCACAAAGATCGACAGTTTGAAGCATGGTTGCGTCGTTTATTTTTAGTATGGCCCAAAGCATCAAGATAATGTTCGCCATCGCCATTTTCATAACTCACGCCCTCCAAGGATACGTTCCCGTTGAGATCATATGGAACACTTACCTGGACCACAAGGTGCAAAAAAGGAAACTCTTCTGGGAGTACGTTTGCCGAACGATTATCACTTTGGCGACATGTAAGTGGACAATATTCAACGCTGGAACTACCAAATATTTAATTAACTGCCTGTCCTGTGATTTATTTTTCAACTATGACTCAACTACTTTGGCATTAATCGTTTATTGAAGAGACAAATTTTAAGTATACTCTATGCCCATGTTTGCTCTAAAGTGTAATAGCTGATAATGGAAGAGTAATATTTAATTTCAATTCACAAAAATTGAGTAATATTTATGTTCAAGTTCTTTTTAAAATCTTCACCATGAGTCTCACACGTTATTATAAGACGATTAACGTGTAATCCTTATAAATATTGTAGTTTGTATAATATTTTCAGTTTCTTCAAGTTTCTTAATTCTTAAAATATCAATAATTTCGAAGAAGGAAAATTAAAACCATCTTGACTGGTACGGTAGTTCTACTGTTAAACGTTAAAAATCTTCAACTTTTATATCTTGTCAAGAATTCTGTACTTATTATTATCATTATCATCATATAGTAATAATAAGCACTACCACGATTATCTTATAATAATTGTTATTCTTATCTTTCTTCCATAGTCACGTTGGCCATCACAGTACCCAGGCTGGGTCTCTTCATCTCCCTGTTCGGCGCCCTCTGTCTCTCCGCCCTTGGGATCGCGTTCCCGGCAATCATCGAGGTCTGCGTCCTCTGGCCGGAAAGGGACCTGGGCCCTTGCATGTTCATGCTAGTGAAGAACATATGTTTAATCGTATTCGGTGTGGTTGGCCTGGTCGTCGGCACCTACGTCAGTATTGGCGACATCATAGAGTCGTTCAAGTGAAGCTACCGGTCGATCAGCGGGTATCCATCATGGAGAGCAAGAGGAGGATGAAGAGTGAAAGGGAGAGAAAGAGAGCGAGAGAGAGAGAGATAGAAAGAAAGAGAGATAGAGAGAGAAAGGGAGAGAAGGAGAGAAAGCGAGATAGATAGATAGGGAAAGAGAGAAAGAGAAAGAGAGGAAAAGTGAGAGGAAGAGATAGGATGAGGATACATGGTTCGCGTAGGTGATGCGCCGCAGCTTCTCCCTGTTTAGCTTAATACATTTGAGACCGATGATCCTGCAGTCAGAGAGCAATTGGGAAAGTGGTGAAATTAGGAAGGAAATGTACAATGTAGTATAATATACGTTCTATTTGAATGGTAGGAATTGTTTGATGAGAGTTTCTCTTATTATTTCTTTGTCAATTTGATTCTTTGGTTATCGCAACTGCACAAACCAAAGACGTCGGTCTCTAGTGTGTGAAAGAAGCGGCGCTTTAGGTAGACAGTACCTCGTAAACGCAGAGGCAGAGAAGATCTATTAGGGAACGCGAGCAGTCCGAGAGCATTCGGGACAAACGCTTCAATCGCGTCACCGCCGATAGTGCACTTAGGCCGTTCGTTTATTTTTTTCTAGACCTTTAAGGTGTAAGTAGGAGGAACCGCGCGGTGTTGGGCGGAGGGAACAGTGCTTTTTACGGTACTGTCCGCGAGCAGGGCTGGAGAGGAGCGAGGGAAGAAGGGAGGGAAGTAGAATGATAGTGGAACTGAAGGAATCAGTGAAAATGAGGATGGATGGAGCAGGATCTGGTGGTTTGATGAATTGACGGTAATATTGAAGAGGAAAGGAAGAGGCAGGGTTTTGTAAAATGAGTATCGTCTTCCTCATATTCTTCTTGATTTTATTGTTACATAAGAGTTCTGTTTGGAAAAAGGTTTGAGAAATTGTATGTATTCTTTTCTCAGCGCTAATTCGAATAGTCGTGTTGAGGAAGATTAATTGGAAATTCTGGAGCTTAGCTGCTTGAACGAGAGTGCAAAGAATTTTGAAGTTATGTGGAATGAAGAGTTGAGAATGTACAATGAAGAGATTATAGATGAGAACAAGGTAAGGTCTATCAGTTTCTTGAAACTTGACAAGTTGGAGAGAATGTCGAAATGAATCCTAAGCTTCGGAGTTTGACAAGGAGAGAAAAGAAAGTTGGAAAAGGAGGGAAACTTGGAGATCTTGAATATAAGGAATTATTAAAAAATTAATTGATTGATTTAGAGTTGTAAGTGCAATTGAAGCTCAGAACAGCTCCACTCGTAGACAGTAATTTCTTCGAGTAATTCAGACGATTCTGAAGAGAACACGATTGCCTATTAGATACTATACTAACGTAATCAACAATTACGCCCAACACCGGACGCGAGAAGAGAATGAAAAAGGACAAAAAATATACAACGTAGAAAGTAAATCATCGACGAACGAAACCTGTGATCGAAGATTTTATACAGGAATGACCGATGCATTTCTATTGAATTGTTGAACCAGTTGCAGATGTATATGGACGTTAATTGTTCTCCAACTTCCGATCGGATGTTCGCAATCCTTCGACGGCGTTCCCTTCGTCCTGGTGATACGAGTACTTACGTTCACTGTGTACACGTACGCGCGTACACTTTGAAAACGTGACACAGGCGTTGCCGACACGTAATCGTAGACTGTTAGGATACGTAGGAAAGGAATTGATTATTATTAAATTAAGATAGAGTAATCTTAGAAATAATACCCTACAGGGCTAATATGAAGAGTGGATAAAGTTTTAAATAATCTAGATCTAGGAAAACATTAGTTAAAGCAAAACAACCCGTTGATGACCGAGATTCATTGAAACGGTGAAAGTAGGAAATAATTTTTAAAAATGATGGAGCCAAGAAGAAATTCTGAAAGTGGCAAATGCAAATGAGAGTAGAGAATGCAACAAGCAGTGATCTACAGTAATTGCTCAATAAATGCAACAAATGGGAAAATTGTTTAAAATGGAATTCTTTTTAGAAATGTAAATGTGTTCTTGAGCATCAAGGGGTCTGGAAACTTTCTTTAACGCCTGGTTCACGCCAAGATCGTATACCACGACGAGGGAAGGCCGACAGAACAAGAAAGTCTATGAAAGATGCCAGCAATATATATATATATATATATATATAGTAGATTGTTACGCCTTATTTTCTATCGAGAAGCTTGCTGCTGCTAAGCGAAGCAGGGTAAACCGAACAAAGTTCAAAGTACACGACGAAGCCAAGGTTCGTCGCCACTTCGCGCCGTCACTGCCGGGAAATTGCTCGGATCATCGCGCAAAAAGGGACAGAGAAGAAAGCTTTAGGTAAAATATTCGATGCACCGATAAGTGATTCATCTCTGCTTTAATCCCAGATTAAATAGCCTATTATCCTACATTATAAGTGAACACACGTAAATCTCCATGTTCATAGATTACTCCATAACAATCAGGAGATTTATTTCGAAATAATTCTAGAAATATTCTTTAACCATCCTCGCCATTGTATATTTGCCTGTCTCGTCTCTTATTTTACAATGATCCCAGGCAGAGGTTGAATTATGTATTGATGCATCCGATATGAACAAGAAATCGCGATCTCGTCGACATCTTCCTGTTTTCGCGTTTTCGATGATCGCACAACCACCTCCGCCGATTCTGCCGTACATTTTTCCGTTTCCGCGCACTCTCCGATAGGACGCTGTTCACAGCGGATTGTCGACGAACGAACGGACCGTAGAATAGAACGTTTCTCTTCTTCCTTTACATCGGTACGTTTACAAGGGGTTTTCTATCTTTTAAGTTTACACGTTCCATTCCACGCAGGAGGCTCATTCGAATGGAACCCACGATTCCGTCGTTCGACATTCTAAAGCGATGAAAGTATCTAGTGGACTGTAACCTCTTCGACCCTTTGCCCTATGATATCGTGTCAGACCCGTGATGGAAGCATTAAACTGAATTCGACAAATCTGAATGTTATTTATTTCTGTTAGAAATTCAATGTTCCTTCTGTCGCCGTAGAAAATAGTACCAAATTCTTGTTTCTCTGATAAATCATGAGCTACTTTCATTGCGAAAGAGATCATAGGGCAGAGCGATTGCTTTTATTATTTAAATTGAGTACGATCGATTATATTCAATGTAACGTTTAATTAAATATAAAATTATCAAATTCAGTAGTCTTGGAAAAATTGCATGGAATCGCGCGAGAGGTTCAACGAGGGATCCGCGAGATCTTTGAACGGAAAATCGAAGATCGTACTTACGACGATCGAGGACGTAGAAAATATCCACCAATATCCCTTATCTCCGACTGCCTCGAATTCATTCGGGACCGGTCGTCAAGTTTTGTACGTTTCTAAACGGTTTCTTAACAGGCCCGTTTTTGTGTATATGTTTTCAATTCCAGCTCGTTGTTTTTTGTCATTACGCTTCTGATATAATAAACTCTCTATTCTTACCTGCGCCGTCTGACTTATCCCGTGCTGTTCTCCTTCGGTTGCCTGGATCACGTAAGTAGAAGCCATTCTTCTTCCTGGTAGCACTAGAACTGCGGCGCCAATGGAAACTTCTCTCGTTTCGAGATTATTGGTATTTTCAAACGTTCCAAGTGATTGAACAATAATTTTACTGGAACATCGTAACGAGTGCCTGACACTAGAACTGCCAGACGTCTCGAATTGACCTATTTAGCATGTTTCATTTTACAAATATTTAAATTGATCACGCTTTTGCGAGAGATTGAGAAATATATGCACTTGTGTAGATACAAGGAAGAACAAATCATGAGGAATAATTTAATAAATATGAAAATACTCAATTTTTACAAAAAGTTGGAAAGTCGTCCTTGCTTGGCAGTGTTAGTGTCAGAGAAACTGAAAGTATTACAATTTTTATAAGGATCACATGTAGATAGTTCTAACGTTAACCGAGGTGAATCAATTCTTTATTTTGTACTTAATCATACCTTCCATCAAACTTCGTCTTTACTCATTAAATTAAAGACTCCTCATTGAAGTTTCCTTTTAATGTTTGTATATTAAATGTTACAGCATTCGTTGTCAGCGAATCAAACTCAAATTCGGACGTAGATTGTTCAGCAAACGACTCGATTAACAGGTACTGAAGCGTCGGTTTTTAAATGAATTTTCGTCGAACGTTCATTTCGTTGTAGTCGATCATTCCAGTTCAATTGAACATCGTGCCTGAACGAGGTTTGAAGAGTCAAGGACGAGACCGGCGAAGATTGAATGATAATAGGGTAAATTGAATACTCTGCGACGCATTCTTTTTTATATAATGTATTGTAATTCTCACTAATTCGTAATTCCTAGTAATCGCATCGTCGGACATAGCTGGGCTATTGTTTCTCTGTAAATCGGATCGCAGCGCAACGACACGTCGACCCTTCCTGAATCTTTCATTTTTCTTTGAAGACTTTCATTTACATTGATCCACTCCCTTGGTAAAATTCCTTTCTATCAATTACTTCGTGTTCACCGAACAACCATACAACTGGATCCTTGCAAAAGGTTCAATTTGAATTCCATGGAAAGCAAATCAAATGTTCGTTATAATTTTAAGAGCATTGCACATTTATATAAAGTAAGAGTGAAATTTTGTACAAAGTAAGATAGTTTTGTACTTTCGAATCATTCGAGCCTGGATAAAACGAACTCTTTTGTAATGATCTCACGATTCGATCTCTTCGTTCAGAGAGGGTCAACGGAGGTCGTTTCAACAAAGATGGTTCCGATCTGCGATCGAGTCCTCTGTCAACGGCCATCGTTCGGGACAGAAATAAGGTACGAGTGTTCGTCGGTGTTTAAACATACGTTTTCGTTTTCTTCTCAGGGATACATCGCTGAATATTGAATCGACACGCGACACTCCTTTCCGCTATGTCACGCCATCTTTGGTACGTTAAAACCGTCCTTAAACGAACATATAATAACTGCGAACGAGAATCTCACGACGATAACGAATTTTCAGTTACGAACGGAACAGGGAAACAGAAGGACGACTGTTGATAAATAAAAGATAAATAATATTCACGATTAGACAGCGATCTTAGGATCGTCCTCCGAAATCCTTAAAAGTTGAGTTCTTGCTTATTGATCCACGAACGCTCAGTCTAATACTAACCCTCTGCACTCGACAATATCTTTCACTATAAACATTCATTACTCTAATGAAATATTAACGATATCCTTCGAAATTAATGCAAGAATTGTACATAAATTAAGGGATAATAATTGCATCTGGATGTTCCATGTGTTGATCTATTATATGCAGTTCAATATTAACCCTTTGCACGTTGACATTGTAAGATAAGTTTATAACTTGATTTTTAGTCAAACGTAGCTGATATTTCATATTAAAACTGATTCGGAGCTGAAAGGTTATATTAAAAATTGTTCGGAGTGCAAAGGGTTAAATTGAAAATTTGATAATTTCGAAAGAAAGACGCTTGCCGAGTGCGAAGGGTTAACACGATGTTAAACGAAGGAAATGTCAAAGAAACAATGGCAGGTTCGATCAGACAAAAGATGGATCCGAAAACTTTCTGTACACATCCTACTGTAGGCTTACTCTACGACACACCCATCGCTCTATCAACTTAACAATATTCCATGAATTAACGCAGGCGGTTACCCTATCCTAGAAAATATTCCAAATCGAATGCTATCCGTCTCGAACGCAAATATACCAGTTCCCGGAAGAAGTTCGTGCAATTCTCTCGTTACCGATTCCAATTAACCCCTTTCCATACAGTGATGAGACTCGTGATGAATTCTAGATTAACTTAACGAAAATCATCTCCATTGCCCATCAAAAGAATAGACTTGCTATCAGTATCAATTGAAATTTCTTAAACTCGAATGGACTTTTCGTTACATTTCTTCGATGGTAGTAAAATGTTACACGAGTTAATTCACTAGTTTAATAAATGAAATTAATATCAGCAGCATGTCCATGTGATTACCAAAAAAAGCAACCTTAGAGAACCGTTCTCTATGTAAACTTCGATTTAACTTTGGCCTATGACTTTCTCAACTCTGATCGATACGGCTACTTTGTCAATAATTTATTGGAAAGAGAAAAATTCACACTTGAAAAATAACACTTGATTACAGAGGAATATTTACTTTGAATTCGAATGAACTAATATATATATATTGAATCATTTCAATCTCGTTTACCTGTCACTTAAATCTACTTGCAAGTCGTTTACGTACAAGGTGTTCCAAACGGAAGTTACTTTATTAAAATAACTTTCGTCTCGAATACTTTTCGATACGATAAACAGTTTGCAAATAAACTTGTGATAGAACGAAATCGTACACCCTGTGTATCTGTAACCGATAAAACCTGTTATCGAGCCAGTAAATCCGTTGTTTCGATTTCAGTGAGTAATAAAACAGAGTAATATACATATTCGTCGAATCACGTTGAAAATCTTCACGAGTCTCATTCTAGGGCAAGAGTTAAGAACCACGAACTTCCTCCGGCATCCAATTCTCTCGTCGGGAAGTTAAATTCGCTTTAAAATGTACAGTTCAACGAATCGTATCGGAAACTGAAAAGAAAACGCAAGGGGAGGGTGAAGAACGAAACGTGTCCTCCAAGCTTCTGCGAGGAAAATGGGGACGCTGTTCGACGCAGGGACCAGCTACGTCGTCAGCGATTGGAGAACGGATGATCGCGACGGCAAAGAAGGAAAAGGGAGGAACGGGGAGGCAATAGGGTCTCGGATTACGCGTGGTCACCACTGAAGTAACTACTCTGCATCATGAACAGTTTGTCGATGGGGTTGTGAATCGCCGCGTGCAAACTCTGCGACAGGGACGGCGCCTCGTGGGACGTTGGCCCGTGATGGGAGTGGGAGCCGCCGCCTTGGTGGCCTCCATCTTGACCGCCGCCGCCCTCGTTCTCGCCTATGTCGAAGCCGGCTTCCGTACCGTCCAGCGACAAGTCGCTGCTGCAGAAACTCTCGCCCGAGTGTCCCGGATACGTGTCTGGAAATAGATGGTTCATTTGTTAATTCGAGTGATTGTACAAGCTGGAACGTGTACTTTTGTATGGGGTAGTCGGTTGTATGTAGAACGAAAATAATGACTGGAGGTCTTTAGGGATAAGAATACTAGACTGTGGATTGCTATGCATTTGCAAAGAATTTTTAACGTATTTAAAGTGCTTTTTACGATTAGGAAAATTCTATGGCAATGTTGTAACTGGAGTTTTTAAAGATTGAATTGCACGACGATCTGTGGTCTTGTATGGGGTAGTCGGTTCTATGTAGAATGAGAATAATGACTGGAGGTCTTGACTGTAGGGATAGTAATATTAGATTGTGGATTGTTATGCATTTGCAAAGAATTTTGGAAGTTTGAATACATGAAATACGAGGAAAAATGTAATATATTTAAAGTGTTTTTTACGATTAGGAAAATTCTATGGCAATGTAACTGGAGTTTTCAAAGATTGAACTTGCACGATCGGTGGTATTTTGTAATGCTTAATTATTCAAGTCTAATGTTCAATTGCTAGGATTAGTAACTGTAATAGATGTATAGTAATAAACACGTGTCTGAAAATAGATGATTCATTTGTTAATTCGAGCGAACATTATACAAGTTGGAGGAACGTGTACTTTTGTATGGGGTAGTCGATTCTATGTAGAATGAGAATAATGACTGGAAGTCTTTAGGGATAAGAATATTAGACTGTGGATTGTTATGGATTTACAAAGAATTTTGGAAGTTGGAATACATGAAGTATGAGGAAAGATGTAACATATTTAACACTTTGACTGCCGAGTATACACTCATCGAATCTCCTACGCAATCAAAGCTATTTTCTTAACAACGCTGAAACTAACAAGTCAATATTCTTCATAACGGTAGAGGGTTAAGTTTCTACGGTGAGAAGAGACTTACCGTCGGGCGAGTACGGGTTATTGGGGTTGAGCGGTTGCGTGGCCGAGGAGAAGCTAGAGGATTCCCCGTCGCGCATGTTCATGGCGTTCAAATAATGACCTGCGAACGAGATCAAACGGTTGGCATTTGCACCGGGTAGTAACGCTACTTTTTTTTGCAGAGCCCCATTAACCAGTCTTCGCTGATACCATCGAGGATTCGTGATAAGCGGAATGAGACACGAGAACAAAAAGGTGGACGCTAATCGCGGAGATTCTCCAAAATCCGATACAACGTTATTTTCATTCACATCCTGGAATTCTTCTTCTTATACGATCATTCTCGTTTTAAGAGAAGCGAACGCATGAAGAAGTTAATGGTGAGTGAAACGATCAAATTCGAAGAGTCTCATTACGAATATCGAAACTATGGTAAGTATATCATAAAATTATAGTAAAACTATATTATTGATTATTATGTATAACGAAACTATATGATTATACGAAACTATAATAAAACTATTGAGTTGATACAAAAGTTCTATGTTCCCTAGTAAAAGAATTTTCTTCGAGTAACTATTTTAAACTATTATAACATATACAAGACACTTCTTTACTTTTATTTAGTATTAGTTTACCCAGATAGTTGAGCTACTAGACTGAATTTAACCCTTTGCGGATGAAATGTTCAGATTTGGAAGACTAAGTACAATCTAATTAATCAAACAGCAAGAGATCAGTACGTAGTTTTCCTTTTTCTACTAATTAAGCAATTGATATATAATTTAGCTTCATATGTTGAAGGTCTATTAATTAAGCAATTGATATATAATTTAGCTTCATACGTTGAAGGTCTATTAATTAAGCAACTGATATATAATTTAGCTTCATATCTTGAAGGTTTTGTATGATTCGAAGAACCTTCGTCAAGAGTTAAAACTGAGAAACGTCGAAACTTGCATCAACCCAATATTACACAAAACAATAATACTAGTTGTATTATCCATTATTCTTTATACAATGAAACCATAATAAAACCATGAACTGAAGCAATAATAAGATATTTCAATCGACTCAGGCAGAAGACAGAAAATTACTGAAGAAGAGAGAACAAACGAAGACATCTTACTGTGATCGCTGTGGGGACTCTCCGGTCGTCGTTCCTCCTTCGGCTCCTTGTCCGATCCGGGCTCGGTCTTCGCTTTCCTCTGAAGCTTCTTCATCTTGGCCCTCTGGTTCTGGAACCAGACCTGCACCACGCGGACGCTGAGACCGGTGTCCTTCGCCAGCGCCTCGCGCACCTTCCGGCACGGTTTCGGCGACACTTCGAACGAGGCCTTGAACTGACGCCTCTGGGCGGACGTGAGGATGGTCCGAGGTCGCTTCGGACCCCGACGACCGTCGCGTGGCCGGTTCTCGTCGAGCAAGTCATAATCTGTCGAACAATTGATCATTGAATGTCGAACAATTGTCATTGAATGTTGATACCGATCAGACTCGTTTCAGCTGAATGAGATCCCCGAGGTTTTCCGAACTCGTTTCGATTGTCTTCATTGAATTCTAATGAGCTTCATCTACCCGTTAATTTCGTTTATAATTTTTGGATAATTCCGGGAGATGGATATGTTCTCACTAGAACGTGCTTAACTTTGCACTCCAATGCCACTCGATTGGTGCATCAGGATTATAAAATTTCTGAAATGTGGAAAATACCGTTGTTCTTATTTTGTGAATAGTTTAAAAAATGTCATCTATATCTCATAGAAATGAATTGAATGTTTCCAGTGACAAATTTAGGAGTGCAAAGGTTTAAATGGAAACTAGAAGAATCAGATTAGATTTGATTTCTGAATAAACTGCAGTTAGTTCTTTACAAGATGATAAGAATTAGAGTTACAAATGGAAAAGCATCGATTGCGATCGGAATTCTATGATTTCTGCGAGGTATCTGAACTGGCCATCTTCATGGAATTCCCCTGTCAGAACGATCAACGGCTTAGCGACCGTCGACTTAGTTAAACAACAATATGTCAGATCAGATCGGAGAAATGTCGCGCCTAACTGAACTCAGGGCAAAAGCAACTCCGGCGACCTGCGAACCCGGGAAATCTCATTGAACCGAAGCTATCCGGAATACTTAGATGAACTTTTTGTTTTTTGACTAACAAACTGCTCTTCTATTATCCGCGTCGTTGAAAATAAAATGAAAAAATTCGACAATTCCCCTTAGAAGCGAAAGACAAGGTTTCGGACGGACTATTCATTTTCCCGGTTCTGACGTTTCACGTCGTTCTTTCCCACGGATCGGCGTGCCTACGCTCGTCTCATCGAGACACCAACGAATCCTTCGCTCGAACCGCTTCTAATTACGCTTGTTTTAAGTTAGTAATTACCTTGAAAATAGACAGCCTCGATATGAAATTCCTGTAGGTATTTACATTGGATGTCTTTAGATTGTAGTTGTACAACCTGCGAACAATGCAACAAGGTATGTACAATACGTTCTCGCACGTGCGTCGTTTGCCTTCATGGCGATCTGTCTCGGTTTTGGATCGATCAACGAACCTGAGGAGTGCCGCGGTCCCGGCGTGAATCGCGGACGGATTTAGCTTAGCCGATCTTTTCACCGAACCTTCGATCAATCGTCTCGGAACGGGTCGCCAATCTCGATTCTCTTTACGAACATCGTGACGAAGAGACTACGACGATAGTCGAGCAGTTTGCTGTCAAAGTATCTCGGTTTCTGCGATCGATTCTGGCGCTTTCGTCTACCTAACAATTTGCAAGATCGCGTGTATGGAATCACAAGGTGTTAAAGAATCGTTCTCGGAGCGTTCGACGGTCTATCCTTCGAATCGAAGTTTTGGGGGCGGGGGGCGGAGGGGTACGGCAAGCTGAAATGAACGAGACAGAAACGAAGCACAGCACAGCTAGGAGCACACCTCTCAAACGATTGGTAGAACGGTTATTGGAGAGTACACATTAAACGGGAGGTAACTACAAAGCGGTCCAATTAATACAAGCACTAAGTCAGGAACCATAGCAGATGTTCGAGTCTTTTCAATTTTAGCTCGTCGACGCGAGAAGAGGAACTTTCGGAGTCGAACGAAAGAAGGAACAGAATAGAGACAAAGGGACTTCAAGCTTCAACGTGGAAACAACCAAAAGTTGATCAAGAGGTGACCGGTCAGGTGTTAACACATTCGCGGCCGTTGACGCGGATTCGCGTCTTTGCGAGTACTAAAGTTCTTCATTCCAAGACTAATACTTCAAAAGAAATTTTCTAATTGTTCTCCCTGTCAGAAAGTAGCTTAACACATTGTACTAAATTTCAGCTACTAGAGACGTATGACTACATTGATATACTTTTAAACATCAACCAACCAAAATTTATAACTCACGAAAAAGAGTAAGGAATCTGTTGCAATTATACTTTGGATTTGTGTTAACATATCTAAAACGTTACTAATGTAGAACTAGCAATTAGCACTAGACTTACTGGTATTTACTATTGTTAGAAAAATTATCAGTTCTATTGTTAGAAAAATTATCAGTTCACTTAGCTCTTAGAAATTACAGGTTTAAGACAATTACATATTTGCATAACTGCGATAAGAATCGACACATTTACCAAACAATGCTTACAAAACACAATGAGTCAAGCTACTTCCACAAATCTAATGTTAGACTAAAAGTTCCGCATTATCGCGGTATACAATGTAAGACTTTCTTCATTAGCAATGAGTATTAACTTTCATAGATTTCCAACGGCGAGTGTGTTAACACGAATATCGCGCAGCTAAGCTACAGGTACGTCTAGCCCTTAGAAGTGCAGAGGGTGTCAAGTCGTTAACCAACCTTGCGGACTGTTCAGGTAGAGCTCGTGTTCGAAGTCTCGCTTGCAGATCGGCTGCCCTTGCCTGAGGAAGTACTGCGCGCCGGGCGGCAGCGGCTGGCCGCACACGCAACACGCGAAGCACTCTACGTGGAAGACCAGTCCCGGCGCCCTGAGGACGAAGTCCGAGCAGCTGATCTTCTCCATGCACCTGGCGCACTTCACGCTGAAGATCCTCTCGTAGTCGGACTTGCAGTAGAACTTCAGCTCGCGGATGAAGCAGGAATTTATCAGAGGCGCGGCGCACGCGGCGCAGGAGAGACATTCCTCGTGGTAGTTCCTGCCGGCGACCTGCATCACGTACTTGTCGGATATCGTGCGGTCGCAGCCGGCGCAGATCGACTCCAGCAGGCCGGACTCCGTTTTCACGGAGACCGAGGGCTCTGGAATTGGACATTAGATGATTAACGATGGCTGCACTTGTGGATTGGTTTAGAGAATTTATTTATTTTGTGTAGAGATTAGGTTTGTCAATAGAATTTTGATAGATTTTGGTGGAGTGTCTTGGATTTAGTGTTTGAGAGTTTGATGTTGATTGAAGAGAGGTATTGTTTGTAAGGTGTAATGATTAATGATGGGATAATATTTCATTTGAATTCAAGGAATTGTAATGTTTATTGAGTTCTGTTTGTAATATGAATGACACGTTACTATAAGACAAGTTGATTATTTATTAGTTTATGTAGTATATGTGAAGCTTAGGGTGTGCTGTATTTTTATGTTTATGTAATGCATAGATTTAGATAGGAGACTGCGATTTCGAATAAGTAGAAACGGTGAATGATGAACAGACTGAGCTGAATTGTGAATTGTACAGTGGATTGCAATTGTTTATTTTTGCTCTAGATATAAAAGATTGATCTGTGCAATAGTCTCAACGAAGATACTATATCTAATCACGAGTACTTTCAGACTGTAACGACTGATCGTCTCTTTGGTATTCCCTTGCTTGGCACTTGAAAAATTAATCAAGAGAACTAATTCGATTCCTATCTGGAGACTGTCGAGAAGGTAAATTCGCATTCCGAAGATTCCTATCTTTCGTATCGGATAACGATTCGCGTCCGTTTGCAGGTGGACGCCGACGGTTCCCCGTCGAGCGCGGAATTTCGGGCGTCGCGAAACAGTTGCAGCGAGGGAAATAAATGCACGGGGTGTTATTCTGACTGATATCGCTGTCAGACTGAGAAATGTGATAGCGCGGTGGAGTGAAGCAATATCGCGAGGCCCATGAAATTTATTCCGTCGCTTATCGATTGCCGATAGCGGTAAAACGATGCTACGATGGTCGAGTGATAAGTTCCCCTGTGACAGCCATCTCATTTCAACAATTTTTCGTTTAACTATCTCTAGAAACGTCCAGATATCCAGCAGTATATTCCATTTACAACGACGTAATTCCCTGTATTCTATACTTCACTGTAAAGACTATATTTGCATCTAAACAATTAACCTCTGGCACTCCAGATTGTTTTTGATCTATCTTCAACTGGAACTAATTTTTATAGTGTTCCTAACAAAAATTAGAAATGCTATAACATTCCTTCGATCTTTTATTTTCTTTCTTAGTACAAAATTTGGACGTGTGGAGAATCTAATAATTTTAGGGTAGTTTCTTTGATTCATTAAAATATTTAATATTATAACTGGTGCAATATCGGAGCTTACAGAGTTCAAAGGGTTAAAACTGCGACAAAATGTGCAGTACAGGGATACTCAAAAATTTATAAGAAATTCGATTATTCTTCAAAAATATTTAGAACCATTTACAACGTCAATATTAGAACTTCAATAATTAATAATAGAAGTAGCATAGATATCAATAATTCTATTTAGTAAGAAGTATCAGTTCCCAAAGATCAATTTTTCATCCCAAAAATCGCGGCTCAATTTCAACCCTCGCCCCATTCAACGACAAGCAACAAACAAACCGGAAGTTTCTTCGTTATCCAAATGACAAACTGTCAGAGCCACTTCTTACCTCCATTATTATTATCATTCGCAGGTCTAAAGGGCATCGGCGGCGCCGCGGAGCCCATCGTCGGCGGCCCGGTCTCGACCTGCCGGTTCAGGGTACCCGGTAGCGGTGAGTAGAATTCCAACATGGTTCCCAGTATCCTGGAACCCACGGTTCCCCGGACCCTACCACACTTCCCACTCACTTTAAAAAAAGTCTCTTTCCAGTACCCTTCCAGCGCAACGATCCCGGGACCAGCGATCTCAAGAATCCTCCCAGTCTATCCTCTATCGCTGGCAATCTTCTATCTCTTCAGACTCACTTTCCAAAGACTGAAGAGGAACCAGACATCAAGCAATCCAGAGGAATATATTTCTCTTCAATATTCTTGTCAACCAATCTCAAGAATCCTCCCAGTCTATTCTTTATCGCTGGCTATCTTCTTCTATCTCTTCAGGCTCACTTCCCAAAGACTGAAGAGGAACCAGACATCAAGCAATCCACAGGAATACTCTCCAATATTCTGAACCAATCTCAAGAATCTTCCAAGTCTATCCAGACATCAAGCAATCCACAGGAATATACTTCTCTCCAATATTCTCAACCAATCTCAAGAATCCTCTCATCTATCCTCTATGCAGACATCAAGCAGTTCACAGGAATACTCTCCAATATTCTCAACCAATCTCAAGAATCTTCCAAGTCTATCCTCTATCTAGACATCAAGCAATCCACAGGAATATACTTCTCTTTAATATTCTTCTCAACCAATCTCAAAAATCCTCCCAGTCTATCCTCTATCGCTGACAATCTTCTATCTCTTCAGACTCACTTCCCAAAGACCGAAGAAGAACCAGACATCAAGCAATCCACAGGAATACTCTCCAATATTCTGAACCAATCTCAAGAATCTTCCAAGTCTATCCAGACATCAAGCAATCCACAGGAATACTCTCCAATATTCTCAACGAATCTCAAGACCACCAAGCCAACAAAGTCTACGGCTATCCTCTATCACTGTCAATCCTCTTCCACCCGTTCCGCCCTATAGTCACTGAACAACGAAGAACAAGGTGTCAACCGATCCACAAAGTACTTGTCACGCAAAGTACTCGTCACGCTCACGAAAGAACCACTCGGATAGTCTGTGCCAACACGAAAACACCTTGGTTCCAGGCTCAAGGTGAAATCCGAGGGTGTCCAGGTATCCCAGCCGGCATCCCAGTTTGATGAACTATAGGCGACCGAGCGTCCAGCATCCTGGCGCTAAGTGACTGTACTGTTTTCCTTGTCGGGGGCAGGCGGGGGTGGTTGGTTCCTTTCTTCAGGGTAGTTTCGACGGGAAGGCGAGCACGGTACGCGACAGCTCCGTACGTGTGTCGGCCGGCCGGACTCCGAAGCTTTTTTGACGAGAGCCACAGCATCGACAGTGAAAATCAACCCCCTCCCCCTGCTTTTCCTGCGCCCTCAACGCCGACGCCGACCTCTCCACCCCCCTAGGACGAACCGTCGCGAGATAGACGACCGATCGACGAGGGTGAACGGGGGCGGGAGCTTCATCCCTTGACGAGGGAGAAACGGCGACGCGACGGGGGATTGGCGGCGCGCGGACCCGCCCTTGGAAAATGGAGCTCTGGCGGGGATGCGAGCGGACCGCGGTGCTCAACCAAGTCGCGGCTACGAGCCGAGGGGATCAATATCAACGCTGACGCCAGTGACGTACGCCGGGTTTAGGGTGCGAATTCGTTCTTTTGGTTTTCGAGTTCTTTGGACTTTGCTTTTGTTTCTTGAGAATGGGTACTGAGCTTTGCATTGGCATTGGTTGATGGTGGAGGAATTTTTGGGGAATTGTGATTATTGTTATGGTTATGATTAGTTGATAGCTGAAACTTGAAGTAGTTCTTCAGACTTTGCTTCTGTTTTTTGGGACTGGATACTGCACTTTGCATTGGCATTGGTTGATGCTGAGTGAAGGAATTTTTGGGGAATCTTGATTATTGTTATGATTATGATTAGTTGATAGTTGATACTTAAAGTATGAGTTCTTTGGACTTTGGTTTTGTTTTTTGGGACTGGAGTACTGAGCTCTGCATTGGCATTGGTTGATGCTGAGTGGAGGAATTTTTGGGGAATTGTGATTATTGTTATGATTATGATTAATTGATAGCTGATACTTAAAGTAAGATTTTTGAGTTGAGAGAATTGCGAGTAGTTGATATCTATATTCTAGGAATAGTGTATTAATATATTCTAAATTGTTCTTTGGTAAACATGTAAGATAAAGAATATATAAGGTCTGAGGACAGGATAAATTTTGAAGCTGTCAAATGACGGATGTTTTCAGATTCGAATGGAACAGCTGACGGAGCAGGTTGTCAACGATATTATACATCGACGGATCTATACATTGATAGGTTTACAATTAGTTTGACTGATGTTAATCCGACTACCACCTAGACTATTACCAACACCCCTCAATCTTTCAGATCTTATCAGCTCGGAGTTAAGTAGATTTGTGTGGTAATACCCAGGGGACATCGGCTGGATCTTCCTAACCAGAATATAGCAGTCAACTCCACCTAACACAATCAATTATACAATCCTCCTTAAACAACATCCACACTCACAACTATTCCATACAACTCTAAAACAACTCAAAGAATGGTCATAAATCAAGGTATACTACAATCCCCCAAAAAACAGTAAGTAATCCACTAATAAACAAAAGGTACATTAAACGTATAAATTCCTTAATTCCTACATATACACACAAATTAATCACTCTATTTCTACATATCCACAGCGTTCCCATATCCAAGATCCAACGCAATCTCGTTCCTCTACTCATCAAAATCAACAAATCAACGATCAACAAACGAATCCGAACGGAAACTTCACCCGAACTTCCTTCCTCCGAGACAGCTCCAGGAAAACCTAAATTCGCATAAACTGCGATCGATCATCCCCAGTTTCCACGGGTCGGACGTACCCTCAGGTGACAGGGCTAATGTTTCCAACAAATTCGGCCCACAAACAGGCCGACCCCCTCCCCCCGAACGTATGCTGGCTGTCGGCCCCGATTTACCACGTCCGAACCCCCGTCGAAGGGGGCTAGGAGGCTAGAGGGTGGTGTGCACCGATCACCCTCGGTCCCTCGCACGTGTTCCACCCTGGAAATACTTTGCATCACCATCACCGCCAACTTGATGCCCCTTTGTGCACGCACCGAGGGGGCATACCGGAGTTTCATAGGCAACTAGGCGTATCATTGGCGTGGGGCGTACGGCGGGGGCGGCGGGGGGTGGCTCCGT